AGTGGACAGTGGCACTCTCCGATATAGCCGACTGGTCAAGAATCGAAGCTGTTGCTGAGTTTAGACTACATACCGGACACGATTGCTTGGCAAAAAAACATCACAGATTGGGAGTATACACTCAACCCACATGCCCTCTATGTAACCTACAGGAGGAAATGGAGAAGACCCACCTGATTCGATGTCTAGCCCTAAAGACAACGACGGAAAGCCAGAGATACTGGGAAGCAAGAAGACAGCTAATGAACTGCTATAAATGTACCTCCCCCCCTCTTGTGGGAAACTGAAGTCAAAGATTAAGGGCTAATGATAAATATCATAAAGCCTGCCATTTGAAATAATAATAATAATATTTAAACAGCAGTGTACTAGTAGTTGTAATCATGAAGTAAGTATAGTAAACAATGCAAATGAGAACTAAAAAGATTACCTATTTAAGTTTAGATGGGGATGAAAAATCGGGTGTCAAAGCAAATTACTCAGGAACTTTAGCTTTTTTAGGTCCACCTTTCACTATTAGCTACACTCTCCCTACGACAATCCTTTCCTTTAAATTTATTTTAAATTGGCTGTCACACTTATCTAATAACAGAATATACGGGCAATAAATTTTTAGACTTTTTAATAAAGGTTATGAACTAAAACGAATTAAACTTTCAGATACTTACTTGAAAGTCCGGTCTTGTTGAATAAAAGAAAGACACATTCTTAAACTCAAGTTTGCCAGTAAATGAGTCCAAAATTTTACCTTCTCCCATTACATCTATCGATGGCACCTATAAACAATTGAAATGAAATATTAAATAGTTTCTTATCACAGCATATTTAAAAGAATTATTGTGATTTCTACTCTATCAATAATTGAGAATATGGAAGCGGCCGACTGCATGGCGTTCGCAAAGAATTCAATTTCTGGCAGACTTCTTCCAAGGCTTGTATTTCCGATAATGAATGACATTATAACCTATTCATTTTAAAGAAAAATATGTTTATAAAAACGATTATTTTTATTGTTGTGAAACCAGAACACTTACAGAAACTACAATACCGTTGTCGTAGTTTTCTTCAATGATCAGTTCGACACCATACCATAATAGAAGAGCGGTGGTACAAAATAAAGAACACCCAATCATCCCCATACCTACACATTCAATAAATCATTAATCATTACTTGTTTTATTGCTTTATATAATTTTTAAAGTTTAAGCTAACTTACCAACCCCCATGAGAACACTTTTGATCAGGAAAACTTTGGCTGATGACCCCAGCTCGTGCTCGTATCGTAAAGTCTCCATTTGCTGACGGCCAAAGGCGTAAACAGTTCGAATGGATGAAAGTATTTCTGAAGCAACTGAACCTGCATTTTCATAGGCGGCGACTTCTTTAGCTGAATATTTTCGCAAAGCGAACCCGAGAAGCATGAATGAGCCAAGAGTTACCGGTGCCATTGCTAGGGAGACCAGGGCCAACTTCCATCCAATTGCTAAGGAGACGATTATGGCAGCCGCAGCACTGACGACATTTTGAATGAAAGTCCCAAGTCGATCTCCAATTCCGCCCTCAATTTGATCAATATTATAACTCAATTTTGTAATTAAAGAACCAGCTGATTGTTCATCAAACCAAACTATGTCCTGCCTTAGTATTTGCTAAAAATAAAAAAGTCTAAATACCGTTTTACATATTAGATCTTACTTTAAATAGAAGGAGTCGTATCCGTCTACTTTGCCGATGAGCGGAAACTTTGAGGGCAAACATTTGCAAGAACGCTAGAGTAAAGGTTATGGAGCCAATACCAAGATAGTATGGTACATATTCACCAAAAATCTCCACTGATGACTGTGTTGATTTAGTAGTCAGTGCTGTCACAACTTTGGAAAAGAGATAAAGTGAAGCAGGACTAGCAACACCAGTAACCACGCTTCCAAAAATGCCAATAAATATTAACAATTTGTCCCAACCATCTGAATAACGAAACTAATTTCAAAAGTAAATTAAATTAAACGAACTCACGAGTTTGTAAAATCTTATACTACTATCACCTTCAGCAAGACTTTCATCATGATCGAAGCTAAAATTGCTCTCGGTTTCGATCTTCTTCTCCGATGCACTATCGATATCTATGTCTTGCTTCATCGGGAATTAAGGTCGTATGTGACATCGTGGTTTTTAGTTTATAGAAAAATGGATTGTCAAGGCGAGTAAGAAAATTGAAAAGGTTAAACAAATATTTTAAATAGCTTCAAAATAACATAATTCACAGCTATTTAAGTTTACACTTTTTTATTGTGCGAATAAATGCTTTATTAAATGGAAATTTTGTTATGGTAATGGCAGCTCAGGTCCGTTTTGATAAATGAGTATTCTCTTTTAAAATTCCATTCCCAATTGCTCAAAATTGTAAAAAATATAATTTCTTTTGTTTTGACTGTCCATATCTAGGTGATTTATTTTGATTTTCAGCATGATGATGTGAGTTGAATTTGGTATCGCTACAATTCTTGGTATCTGCTCAAATTCTACTATTTTGCGAAAATATTCACAATTGAAATTTTGTAATCAACATCTGCTTTTTTCATGAATGGAGCAGAACTGAAAAGTCAAAAGTCATAAGGTTGGGATTTAGGGGGAGATATTTTCATTAAATATGCACTCCTACTGTATTAGTATTTAGAAAAACTGAAAATTCTGGAATTTTATAATGATTGCCTTGCCTCAGTTCTATAGTATTCTCCACGAAATATGTATTGCATAATGAGTTATCCTGTGTTTTTCTGAGTCAAAAGAATAATGACGAATTTGCAAAATTATACGTATTTTATCAAAATGAAAACGCAGAGCTAACTTTCCATGCAACTATTTCTTTAAAATCCTTTAAAGGAGAGCATTCGTATAAAGAAGTTCTTAAATTTAGACACATATTATCATCAAGCTATGTACATCAAATGATAGCGGAAACATAACTTTTATAACCTGTTCGGAATTTTATAGAAGAGTACTATGAGCTTTCCATAAAAACTCGAGTTTCGGGAGGTACTAAATTGCAAACCACTCACATATTATTTTTTGCAATTTATTACAAATTATTTTAGCAATCTTGTAATCACTCATATTATTAATTAGTCATAAATTATCGTAATTATTGATTGGCTCAAATGAATAACAACTCATTTAAACTGAGAATGAAAATCGTGATCGAAATCAATTTATCCCATGATTATCAAGTTGCATTCGACAAATATGTGCGATGATATTCATATTGGTTCCATTTTTCCTTAGCTTGTTTGAATTTATAGAAGCATTTGCGCATAATACTTTCTGGCAGTCATTTTGTGTTCGTGTGTACTTTCATACTCTACGCCTAAATCATCTTATCCAACTAATTTGTTACAGTAAATTTATTCAATTTATATTATTTTTTTTGAAAATTTATATTCTCTTTAATTGTTTGCTTCTTTTTTAAAATATCCGTACTTATTCCTCTTATTATATTTAATTTTTCATTCTAGTTAAAATGAGTTCATTTAAGGGAAATATGAGAGAGTCTCAGAGAGCACTACAGCTGCTCAAGGAACGTGAAAAGGAGCGTCAAGAAATCGAATTCCAAAAGAAGAAACTAGAGGCAGAATTGCGCGTTGGCGAATTTACCAATAAGTTCACCAAACATCATGATAGTATTGAGGGCCAATTGAAAACAGACACCGTTGGTTTGGTCACCCTTGATGAGATGAAGGCTCGTCAACAGGCTGTCATAACACAGCGGGAAAAAGAACTTGCTCTAGGTAAAGCTAACAGAGCCAAGTTCCTAGAAGCTAAACACAACAAGCATGGTGCCGTTCGTAGGGTAGGTTATTAGCTTTCTTTTCTATGAGTAGCATGCATTCAGGGTCCAATATCTTTCAATGAAGATGAAGAAGAGGAAGAGCTTCTATTTGATAAATGTGCATCTAAAGTAGAACTTAAACGCCATCTTGAGAAAGAAGAGGTGGAACAACAACTCCTAGGAGAATTAGTCACAACTCCCGAAGGAGATGGTGCCGATAATTCTGTAGCGAAAGCAATAGTTTCTAGCTGTGAAGAGGCAATTCAAGCTGGTGTTGAAACCTTCAATAAGAAGCGAAGACGACTGGGCAAAAATCCTGATGTTGACACAAGCTTTCTACCTGATATTGATAGAGATGAGGAGGAGAAACAACTTAGGTAAGTCCGATTGATTTAGTTTGTGGACTTAAAATTAATTTCTTTTAATTTACAGGGAGGAATTGCGTCGCGAGTGGCATGCAAAGCAAGCTGCTATTAAAGAAGAAGAAATCAATATCACCTATAGCTACTGGGATGGTTCGGGCCATCGTCGTCAAGTTAAAATGAAGAAGGGACACTCAATACATCTTTTCCTTCATCGATGCTTGGAACAGCTGAGAAAGGATTTCTCAGAGCTGAGGGCGGCCTCCGCGGACCAAATGATGTACATAAAGGAAGATTTAATCATCCCGCATCATTATTCGTTCTATGATTTTATTGTAACTAAGGCTAGAGGAAAGTCGGGTCCTTTGTTCGCATTTGATGTATATGACGATGTGCGCATTCGAATGGATGCCAGCAAGGAGAAAGAGGAGTCTCATGCGGGAAAAGTCTGCTTACGATCATGGTATGAGCGCCATAAACATATCTTTCCCGCCTCTCGATGGGAGCCCTACGATCCGGCAAAAAATTGGGATCAATATACAATCTCAGACAAGATGTCTGTTAAAATTAATGTTAAATGATGCCTCTTTACCTGTTGTTTACTCCCTCATCAACTCAGTTGTATCTCTAAAACTTATTAATATTTGTAAAGCTTTGCGTATAGATATATATTAATATTCATTTGTTCTTCAATGATATTATTCGAATGTGCCATATTTTCGCAATATCGTTAAGATACTGTTCATTAATAATAATAACACCAACTTGATATAAGGAATGTTAAGGGTCGGATATTTTAAGAACAAAAAAATACCTCAGTATAATGATAAATTACTGCTACTTAAGTCGGAATTTTGTGTCTCGTGAGATATTTAATTATTTTTTTCTTTGAGTATGTCTACGTTCCAATTTGTTGTGGATAGCAGGCAACAGTTATCAATCAAAAAAATGAGTGAGGAGAAAACCAACAAGCACTGAAATATCGATTGGTGTGTCATATGTAGAACAAAGTGAGAGCTTGAAAAGTGCCCAAATGGTCATCAGAGTGATAAGACAACCAAATAAGGAATAAGTAACATCTAGTAAACAAGTGAGTATTCAAAGGAATTAACATCTGTTGATAATTACTAGTATACAAATAAGTTTTTATTCAAACATGACGATATAATGATCACCTCCTCCGTAGTTAATGGTACGAAATCGTCAATCTCACTCAGTTTAGATATTGTAAAACAAACACTAAGTCATATTTTGACTATGATTGTCAAATCAGCATAGAAGTATCGATGGAAAACGTGACAGCAATCAATATAATAATCAAACTAAATTATTACAGTAGAAAAACAAAAATGTTGACAGAGGATTACTTGGGTCCACCGCCCTTCAGGGTATACTCTCGCCCGACCGTCATTATGGAAACTAGAGAAAGGAGATCCTCCGGGTTCGCACTGGATTTCAAAGGAATCAGTTTTTCTTGATCCTGTTCCATCTCAAACTTCAAGGAACGCATATCTTCCAAAAGATCACCAACAAGTTTTTCGTGCAGATTAATGGCTTGTTTGGGAGATATTGCCTGGGATTTTTGAATCTGATCAGCTCGAGCATCCACCGCTATTCTGAGTGATTCAACCTAGAGGGATTTCAAAAATAGTCACATCATTCCATATGGTGAACGAAATCTAACAAATCGCCAACCTGAGGATCAAGTTTGGTTCGAAGGTATTGTGGAGCAGCCTCATGATTGAAAGTATGAAGTCGATCTTCAGTTGCTTTTGCTAAATTCGGATCCGGTTCAGTGCTTAAAGACCGAGGAGTGAGAATCATCGAAGTTGCAGAGGCGAATCTTTCTGACTCGAGAATTTTACGAATCTCAACAAGTTCAGAAGCACAAAGACCCAAAGTGTTGAGATATTTGGGCCAATCGATGTTATCTCGCTAGAAAAAATTAAACTATGTAAAAAAATAATACGTGATTTTCGATCATGTATAACAATTCCGAAAGTTTCTGCTTCAATTTGGAAGTTGTTGGTTGGAGCAGAAGAAAACTGTCTAGCTGTTGTCTTTCTGATACTTCCATTACCAACCTTGTTGTAAAACACAATTGTAATATAATTTGCAAAGAAAATTAACAAATTAAAATAAATAGAGCTATAATTTCATAACACAAAACAATTCAAGCTACAAAACGTACCTAGCAAAGACCAAAATCCTAAACAAGAGACAAACAAGTACAGAGGCTTTCAAGGTGCTGCCAAAAGAGAGGTGATTCAAACCAGTTTGCAAACTGTTTCTTCGGAGAGCATTTGCACGCATATGCAAAAATCCTTTTGGGCTAAACATATATAAAATTTTACCATCATTTATATTTGTTAATGTATTGTAGGAGTCTGTCTTTTAAAGGTAAGGTTAATTTTTTAAGTTGAGACTAAATTCAAAATATGACCTTGAATTTTATCAAGCCTATCGGAGTGGACCTTTCAAAAGTACTAGCCGGATTAGGTTCGTAATTTTTAAGTTTCTAAATTCATTTATATTTATTTTTACATATTTAGCTTTTCAGTTCATTATTGATGTGTACACTTTTTAGTAAAATTTTATTATAGCTTTCGTGTTGTACGCGTTTTTTAATTGCTTCAAGCATGGGTGCTAAATTTATGCGTTGATTCATATTTTTTTCAGGCCATAATGATGGAATTCGTGATTCCGGTAACACGAAACGATCTTCTGACCTCAACGATTTCCTCATACTTTGTAAATGAGCTTGTGTGTGTTCGTAATTTGCCGCTCTCCGTCCAAAGTAACACGCATTTGTAACTTAGTATAAATATTTTCGGCTATATTCTTATCTTTGCTTTCTTGTTAAAGGTTGCCAGAAGTATCTAGTTCGCGAGGGGCATCGCGCCATTTTTAAGTGTTTCGATATTTTATTCAGCGTTTTACAGTACGTTAATATCTATACTGTTTTCCGCTACAAAAACTTCTCATGTTTGCTAAATCCTTTGTTGCTATAGTGAATGGAAGTCTGTCGATGCGAATACAAAGGAAGACGCTTGGAGTGTTGTTCTCAAAGGTTTTTTGCCCTTTATTTCACTTGCTGTGACATTTTTTTATTCACATGCACCAATACGTATCAACAATATAATTATCCGTTTTCTTATTTTTTAGGATGCGAAGTCTCTGTTCGTGAGTTGGCCAGTGTTATAAAACCCGTCGACCCAAATTCGTCATTTAATCGGAGTGATCTCCTTGAGCGTAGAAATGCTGTCAAGATGCATGCCTACCTTCTCTGTCAGTTCATTGAAATTATTGAAAATGATTCCGTTGCTGAGGCTAGTGCTGCTGCATTAAATAAGGTAGTCACTTCGGCTGTTTTGGTATTTTCAGTGATTTATGATTTTGCTTCATTGCTTTGGCCCTTTACTATTATACTAGGCTTCTTTTAAATGTCATTGCTGTAAATCGATTATTATTTAGTTGGTAATCTTTGTTTGAGATAGTTCTCTCTTAAACAATTTCTTGACTTATTTACTTCTCTATTCTTGACCACCGTGAATCTAGCACTCTCAGATATCATTTTAAAGGTGTGTTTGTTTGTGTTGAATGGTATAAGCCAGAATTTTTATTGTTAAGAAATAGAATCGATTCTCCAATTTAGTAGTGTCCTCTATGTAAGCAACAAGCCGTTAATCTCGTCTCGTTTCAGAGCAATCCTTCACTCAAAGGTTTCCTCATCTCTTGATTTAGTATCTTTTCGATGTTTTTGATTTTAAAGTATTTTCCAAGAATAGATGCCATACTTCCCCTGATTATAATATGTTTTCTGTATACATGTATTTGGTTGATAATTTTAGGTATTCTCCTTTCCTTTCTACCATTAATTTACTACCTTTTTTGCTTTAATATCCTATTTCAACCTACTAGGTCGGTCGTGGACGAGGTAAAGCCACCACTTCGGCTGCGAAAGTTCGCAGACAAAATTCGGACATCTCCCTTGACTGGTCAACCGAATGCTCCAATGCACTTACAGTCCTTGATCAACTCTGCAAACTGGAAATTCGGCAATTCTGGGACCCGCCTGTTGTGGAGGAAGACTTTGTCAAGTACGTTGAAATTACTTTTATACGTGTTATTTTGTACAGATGTTTTATCAAGTTAGAAAAAAACACTAATTTTTCATTCTGGGTGCACGCATATAAGCTTTGCTGGAGTGTAAAACTAGTAGATGAAATTTTGCCGAGAGTGACATCATTCGTATTGATTCATTTGATTTATTGGATTCAGGCTGATAAATATTTACCTAATGAATAGTTCTTTTTCCCTCATTCAAACTTCATGTTTTATCTCCTTGATTACTGGATTTGTTTCTTAATTACGGTGGCTAACCGTTTTACCTCAATTTCTATTTTCTTCAGAAAATCGAGAAGTCAGAATGATATCAGACGATATTAAATAGCCTACACGATCTTAGCACAGCAGAGTTGAGATAGAACACCCAATACTAGTGAAATGAAATTGAGATCCCTCTATTCGTGAACTTAATGAAGTCGTCAACCACATTTGTTTCTTCCGAGATTGCGGACTATGACTTTATTATGCTGGAAATATGGTCTGCGTAAGGAGCGTTACGTAGTGAGGCAAATTTAGTGCGAGATGAATGAAAAATGGAAATGACTAAGAAGTATAGAGTTCAAAGGATGAAAGGAAACGAGAAACATGAAGATCTATGCATGCTCCTACCTATCCACATGGCATTCTGATCTTTCTTCCTTGAATTGCAAACCGAGACGCTCTCTGTGTTCTTTTGTAATGATTGAAAACTTTTTTGTTATTACCATTTTTACACCCGTTTAGGTCCTTTCAGTGGTCCTTTCAGAGTAAGTAAGTGAATAACTTTCTACTTAGTGGTATCCCAACCTCAACATCTCTCCTTTCCTTAAAACTGGAACTTATTTAGGTGACATTTGAAGCAGTCTTCTATTTAATTATGCCTGAAAAATTATATGAAATGTTGCATTTAAAGTCGTTGATATTCGCTGTATTATCTTGAATAGCAGCTCTTATGCCTCCTAGTTGTCACTTTTATGAGGCCACAATTTTACACATTTGAGGAAGTAGGAGACTCGTAGCTCGAAAGACGTTTAAGGAGGTAAAAATAAGGCACCTTTAATGTAAATCGATTTATGATAAATGCCTTGACTACCTGCTTAACTAACTTTTGCTTCAATGCCGGTCTTATGTATCTAGGTGCACGTTTAAAAATTCAATAATTGATTTTCGCTTGTATGAGGAATGCACCCCCATGACCCATTTTCGAGTCGGGTTCCAGACAGCAGTTATTTTTTCTGCCCTTCCATGAACTCTTCTTGGCTTTAATAAATTGTTAGCCAAGGACGATAATAAGCAGCTGTTATAATGGCTTATTCCTACTAATTTCAGCTTACTAGCCAACAGTTCTTACAAGCTATTGGAGAACAAGTCACTGGCGGCCAATGCGGGTGTGAGAACTGCTATAACAAATTTATTGAGTACTCTAATTCAACGCTACAAACACAGTATTGCCTGCTGTCTGAAACTTGCTCAAATGCTTCAGTGTTTCGCCCATACAGCCACCGTTTTCTCTTCCATTGTCAACACTTTCATGGCTGATGAATCTATGGTGCCTTTTGTGAAGGAATTGCTCAATGTGAGTTGACTAATTTTAATCTAGTAATATGATATTGCAACACTTTAATTTATCCTATTACGCCAGGAGGTTAGAAAGCATCCTCGATTTTCGATGTTGATCGATGTAGTTGCCATTTGTCCAAGTGCGTTACTGGTGGCGTTGTGATTAGCAGATTGGTCTGCGAAGTCAGAGGTTACTTGCTCGGCTCCCAACTCTTTCCATCTAATGAGTTGGATTGCCAAAATTATATTTTCTCCTCAGGGATAATTCATGATGCTAATCCCCTTCCAAGATCAGTGTTCAGTACGCATTCCCGAATAGCCTTTGGATTTAGTTTTATCCTGTTAGGTAGATATACTACTACTTTCAGTTGGTAATTTAAATGGCTAATGTAGAGTTTGTGCTCCTAGTGTTTGGCTTAATGTCTTCCCCATTATTGATGCTTGCGATATTAGTTGAGGAAATTTCAGGTTGCTAGATGTTTTGTATTAGATTGATAAAATATCTCATTTGACTTCACTTTATTAGTCTGTTTTTTTTCGTCTAGGAGATCTGTAGCTATAACGGAGAGGATTTAGAACGTGATGCCACGGGTACACACAATCTTTGCACATTCCTTGATTCCGTCTCCTCAACCCACCCATCTCTTGCCACTTCCATTCTTCCAACGATTCGTGCTCGGCTCTCAGAAGATCCCTATCAGATGCGCAACTGTGCTCTCAATGTCATCGGTCAGGTCCTATGTAATCTGGGCTCAGACCATGCTCAAATGGTGGAAAAGGACAAAATTCAGCGCGATCGTCTTATGGATGTTCTCCAGGTAAAAACTATTTCGAAATGTTAAGGAGTCTTTGTCGTTGCATGTGTTCCACGCCATTCAGCAGCCAACTATCTCGGAGCCTCAAAATTTCATTCTCTACTGTTAGTGGAACGTAGAGCACCTGAATGCATATTCTCGCATTAATAAAGATACCGTCTTTGAAGTTGTTGATAGTTGACCCACCTGGATTGAAACCGGCCAATGAGCCTCAAATCAGTGGCAGAATAAAATGTGGAATCTGTCGACAGTAGGGAAGGTGGGGGGGGGGGGGGAATGTTTGGCGTTTCGCCATATTAGGCATATATTATCGAGTCGCTGACCTGACCATAGGAGGTGTATTGGGACCGCTGGGATAGAATAATATCAGTCCTCCATTTTTACTTTTATGTAGTCCACTGAATATGCACACTCGTGCGGATGTGCATTTTGACCACTACGCCAACGGCCCATATAGACTTCTCTATCAATTCCCCCCCCCCTCCCTATTTATCTTCCTAATTTTGTAATCCTTATATTATCTTCTAGGAACACATTCATGATGTCAATGGTTTTGTGCGATCTCGGGCCTTGCAAATCTGGTGCAATATTGCCTCATCAGGGGTTGGTTCCTTTTTTGTTCTTATTTAAGAGTACTTTCGCATTGATAAGGACAGTTTAATGACAAGAATAATTAATTCATAGGGCCTTCCTATTAAACGTCAAGTTCAGTTAGTTAACTTGCTGGTTGGACCTGAGGGAGCAGTGTTTGATGTTTCTAGTTTGGCTCGAAAACATGCTCTGCGTCTGTTCACCATTATCATTACTCAAAGTCCCGCTGCCAAGGTATGCTCGTTTCTTGGGTTCTATTTATGCTTATTTAAATTGAAATTAATCCAGTGTCTTTTCAACTAGCTCACAAAAGAAGACTTTTCTGGTGTTCTGAATAAGGAGCAAGAGAGGCTTCAAATCTTGGAGCATAATTTTGGTATGTACAGTCCCATTATCTAATTATAATATGCCTGTTTATCCACTTTGAGTACTTTATTCTCGAATAGGCTGGTGCATGGTTTTAGCTCTGAAGAAATGGTTGCAGAAGTGGCTAGGGATATTTAAGCCATCACTTTCAGCTTTGAAATACATATCAGGTTCTTTTTAGAGGTATGTCTTGAAGAGACTCGTTGGTACATGTTACAGCGTAAAGAATTACATGCCTCTATATGCCCTTTCAATAGGTGTTTCTTTGATAGGACTTAAAATAACCCTTAATTTGATGTTCTCTGAGGAAAAGTGTTCTCTTTAATTTTGCAAGAGTGCTGTCTTTTCTGTGAAAATCCGCATGCAGTTTGCAGCCTTACACTTTTCTACCTTTTTTGTCTCGAATTCCCTTGATAGTTTACGTTGTTTCGCTATTTTCCTCAAGGTTTCCAATTTCTTGATCTTCAAATGAAATTTGATCAAAAAAGAGAAGGAATCGTTGTGCAGCTATTTGTTTTCAACTGTTCTTAATGCTGGTAAATTTGGATTTAAATCAAGTGGCACTTCCTTCGCCTTAATCTTATTTCGAATCCACTAAGCCTGTCTGAGTTTGTTGCTCTCGATTGAATGAAAAATCGATCTACCGATTTATAGTTCACACGCGAGGATCACGAGTTAGATCTGGAAATTGATGGCAATAAAAATTTCGTTTTGCTTTTGTGACGGGGTGCAAAAAGTATTGAGCCAGTAGTATGACCACTTACAGAACTTGATAGAAGCTATCCTTGCAAAATTCGGGTGAATCTATATTCTGAAGAATAAAGTGGAATGGGAGTGGGACCACATATAAGTCGGTATTTCCAGAAATCAATAAATCCACGTACGCTTTCAGTAAAGAGCGCGTGAAAATCAATAAATCTGCTCATTTTTTCATCAATATTAAAGGTCATCTTAGTGCTAACGATGCCAATCTCCTACCGAACCCAGCGGGGGGTACCGCATCAGTGGAAAATCATGCTGCCAATACTGAGGAAGAGGGGGAAATCAAAGCTTCGAGAAAATGTCGTGGTCGTAATCTGTTGGATTCGGACGATGAAGGGGATGAGACCATGAGGCAGAGTAGCGAATCTCAAGAGGATGGTAGTGAGATTGAACAAGAAGAACGAGTCCGAAATAAGTTGAGCGAAAATCTAGCTGAGGAACAGGGAGTTTCGGAGGCAGCTGCAGCTCTAGAAGCAGTAATTCATTCCGCAGCAGAGGTTGCTCAGGAGGGTCAAATGGGAGGAACATCGAAGCAATCAGGACACTCACCTCATGCAATGTCGGCCGAAGTTGCTTTTGAAGCCCAAAAGGCTGACCTTATTCGTCAGAAAGCTTGTGTGGCCTACCTTTTGGAAATGCAAAGGTTTGCCGACTATGTAACAACAGGAATTGAAGATATTCGAAATATGCTTCATTCTAAGACTACTACTGATGTCCTCGAAGCCATCGAATTCTTCCTCACTGCGAAACAGGCTGGTGTACGAAATCTAGATGCTGCGCTACGACACATGATGGCAATGATTTGGTCCCAGGAGGAGCAAATTAGAAAATCCGTTCTGGATGCTTCTAGGTAGGTCTCTGACTCCGTCAATATGCTTTTTCCGTTTTAGTCTAATTTGAAATCTTTCTCCCTTCGTACAGACGTCTGTACTTCCAGCCAGACATTGTGAATGAATCTTTTACCGAAGAGGGTCGTTTGTCACCGGCTGCAGTCGATGCAGTGATTTCAACACTTGTGAACCTTGTGTCCGAATCCTCCTTGGGAGATTTTGTCTCTCTTGAACGGATACTGCGTGAATTACTCGATCTTGGTCATGTTGATGAGGACCTCAAACAGGAACTATGGACGAGATTCACCACTTTTGCTTCCACAATCGTTGAAAGTGCTTCCAAAGTTTCACAAAAACGCAAACAGGAGCTCAAGGCGTTGCTTATATTATTGAAAATGACCTCATCGTACGTTGTACTTTCTATTCACCAATTATAACACCACTTGTTAAACGAATTTTATTACGAACTTCATTTGATCTTTATTGGTATGTTAATATCTGCACGAAAGATATGAGGTTAATTAAGTGGCATTGCTTTCATTAGGATGCTTATTTTAAGAACTTTTCTGCCCTGAACAGTAATGATTTCAATGTGTACCTATTTGCACTTACCACCTTTTTGGTTTGGGATTTTCTAAGGTGTCATATTTAAGGCATTTAGGACAAATGACGTTTTGGATGGAATGAGTACACATCGATTCGGGAAAGTTTTGAAGCTTGTCCTTACATTTAAATTCTGAGCTTAGCGATCTCTTGTTATGGCCTTTCTCTTTCTCGCATTTCGCTATTTTTGTGTTATAGGCCGAGTCGAAGGAACTTGGAGTTGCATCTGAGTGATTTGGTCAATTATGGTCTGGGTGATTCGATGGGCTACGCTAATGTCGACTTGGAGTGCGCTATGTACGCCTGTATGGTCATTCAACAAATGATTCCCACTGATAAAGTAAGCCTTACTTTTTTACTATCAGTAACTATTCACTCCACGTGGTGCACCCTGGGCAATGTTTACTTACATGGCGAAAAGGTCTTTAGACCGGCAGTTGACTTCTAACCTCAAACTACCATGATCCCCCTGCATGTCATATTCAACCACTTCCACAGTGCTCGCCTTACCTTTTTTCTCTACCTTTGTGCCTGTCTCTTTTATATCTCTTAATCACTCTTCTGTTCTCCCTTCCCAATTTTTTCTCACTATGATGTTCCTCCCTTCTGTGAAGCCCGAAGTCAACTAAAGGGCTAATGATAGCTGTCCTGTGAAGCCCGAAGTCAACTAAAGGGCTAATGATAACTACCGTGAAGCCCGAAGTCAACTAAAGGGCTAATGATAACTATCTTAAAGACTGCCATTTGATATAAATAAATAAATGACTATTTACTTTTTTAGTTCATCACCTCTTTTTCCTCATTTTAGCAGGCTGCGAAGTCAAAGAACTCTACTGCTAGAGTCACACTGACCAACTCGAAATTAAGCGAACCCTTCCGACTACCAGTGACACATACTCTGTGCACATCGCTGCGTAAGCTTCTAATCTCTACCTTCACGTCTGCTTCCCGTATACATTGGATTCCGCTTATGGAACAGGTAAGATTGTCTTTGATACTTGGACGAATCTTCTCGGACTTTACTCCTTTGACTTTGAATTAATTGTTCATCTATTCAATGTGACTGAATGAGAAAGTACGTGGAGATGTCGAAAGTCAATTTTGGGAGATGGACACGCCTTGTTACCCCCTTTGAATGGTTAATTTCCGGATTTGCTCTTTCACATAGCCTGCAGTTAGAGCGAATTTACAAGTAGGCTTAGAAATTCTCTAAATTGTTCGAACAACTTACCATCGAGATGGCAAAATTAAAAGATACATGAACTGGTAGATTCAGTAACGTGGACTCTTTAAATCAATGCGTTTCTCTGCTCTACTGGAAATTATTTTGTCCGACCCATTTGGGTCCAGCCTAAATACCCTGCTGTTTCTATTGTCTTTTTTATATATCCTTATTTAATTAAATTTCCCCATTGAAGCTTTCTCCCTTTATCAAATGCTACCAACAGTCCTGATCCTTGTAGCTCCCATGTTTAGTCATTCTGGACAATTTTATGTCATAGGAGTTATGTCACACGATTAAAACTAGCTCAGAATCTTATTCTCTGCCAGTGCTAATCTCAAGACCTGCTAAATTGCTTCAAGCAGACAAGATTTTAAGTTTTCATCTTTTTTTATACAATCGATTTCTTCCTTTTCACGTAGGCTGTAGCGACAATCTTCCAATTAATTGAAACACCAACCATCGTGATGGCTGAAGTGATTCATGAAATTGGTGAATTGCTCCTCAAGTCAGTCTCAAAGCGACAGCCGCCCATTGCCCAATCCCAGAAGGAGCAAGTTGATGCTATACAGACTGCTACTTTGAGATCCCCAGTAAAGGGAGATGAAGCACTTGAGGAAGAAGGAGGAATGGAAGTTAAAGGGATCGAAGTAGATGAAAATGTTGAAACTACACAGCCACCTTCATCACAGGTTTGTTACGCTTTTTTTCATTTATTAGCTTTGGTCTTATTGATCGATCGATTTCTCTCGCCGATCTAATTCAAGTAGCTTAGTGGAGTTTGATTTCGAATGGAAAGTCTTGTTAAGGTGAATAGGGTTGAACGCTACTAAGTACATTTATGAGAAATAGTTGTAAATAGCAAACAGTGGAAAGAGTCAATTAATTATAATTAGACAGAAATTAATTTTGTTTAAGTTGAACTTTAATTGGAAGTGTGCCAGCTGCACAATTGTCAACATAGACATAAAGTCAATATAATGCATTAAATATTGTTGAACTGAAATTCTCATTATAAAGCAACAATTCGAAAGACTCATTGTCATTATATTGTCGTCTTATTATTGCAGTTTTGTATTATAGTTTGTTGAAAACTTAGTTATATTTAAATGTTTTACCGAATATACACGGGAAATGCCTCCGAAAAAAGTTGATTATGGCATTAATGTGTGGTGTTCCCGTCTATCGAGGTTGACTCATTCGCCTATGGTTCCTATTGTTTCCCCATTAAAAGTATCATCCATTAACCTCAACCGAATCTCTCTCTCTGTGCTTAGCTTTAGGAAGTAGGTATGGTGAAGTTTTTTTGTCTTACGTGTCTCTATAATATGCGTAGCTAATCGTAGTTACGACAGTTGTTGCTAGGTTTTGGTGGTTTTCGATGGTCTCATGATATTCGTTTTGCCTTTTCTATTTTTACTCTATATTACAGACTTCTACGCTCTCCACGGTTCCCTCCTTCATCCTGGCCAGGTTCATTGCTTTGGCTGGTCATATAGCCCTGAAAATTTTGGTTCACTTAGAGTTCTCTGTTCTCAATGAACTCAAACGCCGAGAAGCTTTACAAGAAGAGAACAAGAATGCTAAAAAACGCCATGCTAAAGTCCAAAGAGCCTCTGCAAGAAATGTAAGTTCTTGAATTTGTGCTAGCGTTCATTAAGTACTATCTGTTGTATCATAATCTTGTCATGTGTCCCTTTTTTCTCCCTTAGAATGTCAGCGTGGTAAGTTGAGTGCATTTGGTTATTTCTCGTCAAGTGTTTTTTCCTGTCGTAAAATTAATTCTACTGGTGAGTCGTAAGTAGTTATTATTTGTTTGAATTTTCCTTTTCAAGAATACTACCTTGGAGATGTCGCGTTTGACCGAAATGAGTGGGGTCGGTGGAAACACGAGCACTGCGGAGGAGGAAGCAGCGTTGCTAGGCGCTGTTGCAGATGACGCGGAAGCTGACTACGTTCGGAACGTCCTTAACAGCGAAGTTGTTCTGGATCCCGGTCATCTTCTCACCCGCCTCTTGCCGATTGTTGTGCATGTCTGCACTTACCGCAGTCGGTACTCTGACCATGATCTTCAGGTGGGTTCTTTGACATAAATTCAATTACCTTCAGTATGTTTGTGAAAACTTAAAGTATAATTGTCTTACTTTATAGCTTTTTACACTTCTCTCACTGAAAGGCTGCAGCACCTAATTGAATTGACCTTGTATTAGTGTTGTAATGCGATAACGCTTAATACTGCTTGCCGATGATATTTATCAGGCATAGGACTTCTTTTTGAAGTTCCATTTTCTACTTGCTTATTGACACTTAAAGCTATTTTCTGGGGTGATTTCTTATTCTGTTTCATCATCGAATTTTTGATTAGTGAGCAATGAAGATGCTGTGTCCTCTTTGTTTCTAGCCGTTTTCGAATCTGTTATCTGTGATGAGAGTTGCCAGTAAGAGAAACTTCAATAGAAATGCCACGTCTAGTTTACGTTTGCAAATTAAATATCACCTATGCCACATTGCTAAAGTCATTGAGCCATCACCCTTCTAGCATTTTGACTGTCTGCGAAATGAGTTGTGTAGTAGACAGAATGGTGTTAATGTCTAGTTATTGGCAGTCTCCTAATTAGTCGTGTGGTATATATATATATAACACTGAGTCTCATAATTTCCAGCCTATGGACAAGTGTCTAAAACAGGTAAGAGAATTGCAACTAATGTACAAAGGTTGAAGCAGTTGTTTGTCCTGCATCACTTTCATTGCGACGCATATCCTTCATGCCAGTACCGCAAGGCTCCATTTGAATAAAAGAGAAGTGGGAAGTTCTATTGGCTATCCTCAAATCGGCTTAACTAAGTTTACTAAGAATTCTATATGAGCGGGGGTGCAATTTCTCTCCTTTAGGCTTTTATGAAGTGGATTCACTTGTAGGTCATTCTTTTCTAGGCTGCTGCCTCACTCTCACTGGTAAAATTCATGTTGGTGAGCAGTACTATTTGCGAGCAGAACCTGCAGCTACTCTTCACTTTGGCTGAACGTAGTCCCTCCGAGGTGGTTCGCGCTAATTTGATTGTCGGTCTAGGTGATCTTGCTCGGCGTTTCCCAAATCTCATAGAACCGTGGACGCCCAATCTTTACGCTCGTCTTCGTGACGACTCCGCCAAAGTTCGAATAAACGCGTTGAATACCCTCAGTCATCTCATTCTCAATGACATGGTGAAAGTAAGTACGAAATTCGCACATACTAAAAAGTTACTCAACGTATTTCCCTCTGTGCATCCACGATTTTCAATATTCTCGATTGTTCGTACAAACTTCAGTTAGACTCCTTAAGGCTTTTTGTACTAAATTTTTGTTTTCCTTTTGAAATATTCCCCTAAGCACATATTTATAGTGATGGTTTATGTTTTATTAGGTAGATTTTGGGATTTTAATGTGGGTTGAGTAAGTGCTCATAGGTTTCAGGTTTTGGTTAAGATTAGCCATTAAATGTTTCTCTTGTTATTCTTTAATCACCGGAAGGTTTCCTCAATATTTGGCTTCTATCCTCCTTAGGTCAAAGGTCAAATCAGCGAGATGACAGTGTGCTTAGTTGACCAAAATGATCGATTGAAACAACTCTCGCGGTTATTCTTCCGCGAATTGGCTCAAAAGGGCAATGCGCTGTACAATGTCATGCCCGATATAATTAGCCGACTTAGTGATCCTGAAGTCGGTGTTGATGAGGACAAGTTCAGACTGATTGTTAAGTGAGTAAATCTCTGTTACAGTTAAATTTCATCCTCGTGTGAGTTGCCTTAATCTAATTTCACCTTTTTTAGTTTCCTATTTCCGCTGATTGAGAAGGAACGACTTTGTGAAACCCTTGTTGAGAAAATTTGCTCTCGATTCAGAGTGACTCAGTAAGTCGCAATTTTGTAGTCTTCTCATGTCCTAGCTGGCTGATGTCACACTCCTAACTTCTCTCCATTTTCACCACACAACAATGGAAAGAAGGCAATAAAATTGTGAACAGAGTTTATTGGAAAATATTTGAGAGTGGGGGGGGGGGGGGAGGAGGGAGAAAGGGAGAACGGGAATCTGTTTGTACAATGCTTTTGTTCTCCGAGAAACTGCATATAACCTTGGAATTTGAGGTAAATGAGTCAGTCAACCGCACACGGTCGACTAGTTATGTCAGATTGACTCAGCGTGTTGACCGGGTCGAGTATCCCGTATTTGATGGGGTTCATCTTTTGAGGGTGCATGGGTGTCTCTGGCGTCGAGTCTAAAGTGGAGTAGAAGTGACTCACAGGTTGCAAGCAAAATAAATGGAATATTCGTGTCAAAATGTCGGCACAATTTTTATTGAAGAGGTTTTCACTAATCAACTCTATTCCTTTAGAACTGAGAAACAATGGCGTGACCTGGCCTACTGTCTTCGTGTGATGTCATTTAATGAACGAATGATCAGAACTTTGCAGGAGAACTTGCCTATCTTCGCGCAACAACTCTCGATTCCCGATGTACATGCATCGTTTGTTGAAATACTCACCAACGCAAAGAAGAACACTAAGGCAGAGATTCTTCCTCAAATTGAAGAGCTAGAGGCAAAGATTGAAGAGGTGAACTTCAGAATTTTAATTCTCTAATCTTATTGGCCCATACAGTGAGATTGAATGGATTTGCTCTCCATACTCTTCTCACCATTATTTTTTTTTAATTTCACGTAAATTTCAACCTTCTTTATGGAAACGTATTTTTGCGTTTGAATGCCCGAGTAAACTGGATGTCATTACAGTTTCCCCCATGCCCCCCCCCCTCCCCTTCCCCAAGATATGGTAGCACAACGGTGGGTTATCGATTGTCGATTTCCGCTTTTGATTTCGCGTTGACTGAGCTAATTAGACGGTGTTATTTAATGAAATTCGGCACATACGTGCCGAATTTTCGCACCACGCAATGCTTCATAGAAGTGGAGATACGAAAGTATTTTTTGTGCATTAATTTTCCTTTTTTCTGCTTTAGTTTCATCAAAAAGGTGTTGCAGATGAGGAAGCTTTACGGCGTGCCGAAGTGATGGCCAAGAAGGCCTCTTCAAAGAGACGTCGAACAGCCGCTGGTGGTGGCCTCTTATCCCCCCGGAAGGCTCGAAATCGAGCTCGTGGCGATGACGAGGATGACGAGGTTAATACCGCTAGTCCTCGCAAAACACGGAGTCGAGCTGGTCCTCCTCTTGCATCAGCAGCTAGGCCTAGAACTAAAAATCATCGTGCTATCTTTTCGTCAGATGAAGAAGATGAAGATCAACCTACATATTCACGGGCAAATTTGATAGACGAAGATGAAGATTAATAATGGCAGCATTTGGATCATCCGACACTCTCCACTCTGTTTTATCCGTTTATTCGGCTATTTTACCAACCTGTGCACAAGTTTTATTTTGTTTTAAATTTATTAAATGTGGCTTGTAATTACCAGTGAACGGATGCATTTACATACTTTCCAATTTCTTATTTTCCTACTGATAATATTTAAGTAGAGCAGTTGCGTTAGGTTCGGGTAACTTTGAGCAAACAGCGATATTACGTTTGGTCGTGGAGGTAACACCAAATTCATTGATTTTCGGAGGCTTATAATTGGTAAAACGATCTAAACAATACTACGATACAATAAGGTTGAAACACTTACTAAGTCTGCCAAAATTGTCAATAGTGGATTTGTCCCCAAGTACCTCGCTTGAAAGGGATAGATATTTGCTTGAAACTTCGCAAAACTGTATTTGGACTTGATTTGCTGCTGGTTATTATGAAAGTTCCCAAATGAATTAGTTCTATTGCGTTGAGGTCATGTAGACTATCTATAGTCTGTCTCCATGGCCATTATGGGAAAAATATATCAAGGTCGTGTATTTATCTCAAGTGCTGCAAGGTCTTTCAGGAATTTACTAAGAAATCTTGAGGAATTCGATGTGTAGAACTACCCAATGTTAACCGTAGAGATCGAGTTGAGTTGATTTCTCGAGTTAAAAACTTTGCTGTGTGCCTCAATGTAATTTTATGCCAAATCTTGAAATATAAGGCAATGCCAATCTTTTCTATCAAGAGGCGAGCATACAAATCCATCAGTTAGAAAATTTCAAAGATTTTCCTCTCTTTACAGTCATTGGAGGTCGAGAATTATTCTGAATTTGAACCAATCAAAGATCACTATTTTCCGGTTTTCTATTTACCAATTGGAGACAATGCTTTGATCTCGTTAAATCTTACGAAGTAAAAAATATCGTAGCACTGGGAGCGTTGCTGGAATCTTTTGACACGCAACCTACCGCCTTCAAACCTACCTCATTCTCGTAGACTTGCATGGTTTGACAACGCGCAGTGAGCTAGCTATAGGGTTTCGTTTTTTTCAGTTGAAATTACTAAAATCGAGTGTCGCAGCTTGCACTGTGACTCATGTTGAGAAAAAATCCACTGACAAGGCGCGGATGAGCCTTCTGCTGTCAACTCTTACCTTTTTTTCCAGGTTGTGCACTTTTAATTAAACGTCTTTGTTCGTGTGCTTGAAATTGTCTGCATTAATTATTAAAAGTGATGACTTTTACATAGACCGAGGCTATTAATAGAAGTGAACAGAGTTTTCGCGTCATAGATACTGTCTGAAATTGTAAAAATATGTATGACGCGAGAGTGAAAATAATGTCAAGCTCTTGAAGATGTTTAAGTAAGCTCTGAAAAGAATATTGGTCAAAGGTGAGTGATGGTCTTGATGATGTACTCTTCTTCTCCTGCGGAGCCGCAAGCAAAAGTTCACGCATCTAGAAAAATCAAGTATGATTTTAATTTCAAAGAGCAGAGACAGTTTGAAATCCACCATTGTCGCAATCTAACTACTCTTATTGCTTATATTAAAATAGGTCAACTAATATCAAAGTGTAATTTACACAAAAAAAGAAATAAAATCGGTAAAAATGAAGTAAATTTTTTTGAGAAATCATGAGCAAATACTCATCAAAGCAATTAAACGAAACTTCAATCCATTTTATCAAAGAAAACTTTAGCATAGCACGAAGTGAATAAGAGAAATTGATTGGTTGCCCAATTTTCAACCATATGACTAAATGTTAGCCATAGGAGGTGTGCGATAGACTTACCTGGGCACCCTGGGCAACGTATACTCATACGGCAAGAAAGTCTATTAATCGGAAGTTGACTTCTGACTTCAAACTACCATGGCCCGACTGCTTGCCATATTCGATCCCTTCCACAGTACTCATCTTGCCTTTTTCTCTACCTTTGTGTCTGCCTCTTTTACATCTGTGAATCGCTCTTCTGTTCCCCACCCCTCCACTTCTTCTATTGGGTGGGCAACTAAGTCATTGCCAATTTCAAATAAGAAGGCAAATTCGGAATTTTTGTTTAAAAATATAACTTTATTCAATTATATATTGGCCGTTCTTGTCGATGACCTTTTTCCATCGTTCTGGCAGAGTAAAACTTCCCCGTTCGTAAAATGTCTGGTCTTTGCTATTAAAAAATTGAATTAGGTGTGATCCGACATCATCCGCGTTGTTACAAATTTTACCATTTAAAGAGTTTTGTATGGAACGAAACAAATGGTAATCCGAAGGCGCAAGGTCAGGGCTATATGGTGGGTGTGAGTGACAAAACATCCCAACCCAGTTCCAATAATTTTCGCCGAGTAACCAAAGATGTGTGGGGCCTTGCGTTATCATGATGGAAAACAACACCCTTCCGATTTGATAATGCCGGCCGCTTATCTTCAATTGCATCCTTCAGTTTTTCGAGTTGTTCAACATACACATTTGAATTTATCGTTTGGTTCTGCGGCATGAGTTCAAAATACAAAATTCCTTTGTGATCCCACCAGACTGACAGCATAATCTTTTTTGGTGAATCTCTGCTTTTGATACTGTTTGGGCTGGTTGATCTTGCTTCACCCATGATCTCTTGCGAGTAACCTTGTTATAAACTACCCACTTTTCGTCGCCAGTAACTAGGTTCTTCAGAAATAGATCATTCTCATTGCGTTTCAGTAGCGGCGAATCACAGATGCTAATCCGTTGCGTCAAATGAATTTCCTTTAACTGGTGAGGGATCCATAAATCAAGTTTCTTGACATAACCAAGGGTTTTTAATTTTTTTTTCAATGCATGTATGCGACACATTGAGCTTCTCTGCAATATCTCGTGTTGTGCTGTGACGATTTGAATCGATAATGGCCTTGATATGGGTTCCATCCACTTCGACTGGGCGGCCAGATCGTTGTGAATTTTTCAGTGAAAAATCACCGGAACGAAATCTTTCAAACCAATTTCGACACTGCCCTTCTTTTAAGGCTTCATCTCCATATACGGCACATAACTTCTTTTGTGCTTGCGATGCGTTCTTGCCTTTTCGGAAGTAATACAATAAAATGTGTCGGAAGTGCACGTCCTGTTCTTTCATTTTTAAATTGGGATAAAAACAAAACTAAAGAACTAAACAAAAAAATTTTTTACTAATTAACCTAGAAGCCCATACAGTAAGAAAAAAATATAGGTTAGATGGTCTGGCCACGTTAACAAAACAAAAGAAAGTATAGAGTGAATCTGTCAACAAAAACGGGAATGACTTAGTTGCCCACCCAATACTTTGATGAACCTTCCCTCTGTGAAGCCCGAAGTTAGCTAAATGGTTAATGATAGCTATCAAAACGCCTGCCATTTGAAATAAATATATGTTAGCCATACAAATAGTTGAGCAAACTAAAATAGTAATCACAAATGCGAATTCCGCTAAGATTATTAAAATTTCCAATCTTTTATTTCTTGTCAATGGTCAAGAGGAATCCTCCTTCTCAATATTAATCAAACATACTTGAAAGTGCGCACAAGCAGTAGCGTTTTGGTATGCAATAAAAGGCCAAATTTCCAAGTTACGAGTACCACATTGTGGTCAAGTTGTTTGAGGTCATTCTAAAATATGAAATTGACTACCTCAAAGGAAACATTCATCCTTACTAAAATGAGATACGGAGACAAATAAAGCTATTAAATTTCATGTTAGA